TCGCTCCTTAGCCCCGCGCCGCCGTACGGGCTACCCTTCTGTCTGCGGCTCCTGGCCCGCGTATGTCATTGTCGCCGAGGCGCCCGGCGGGGAGCTAATGGGGTACAGCGAACCTGGTGCGGCGCCGCGTTTTCCGGCGTTGTGCCTCGCTGCGTTACCTGCTGGGGACTATAACGCAGGTGCTTTTCTTACTCCTTGCTTTTTCCAAATACCCAGCAGGGACGAGGAACATTATGTAGCATCTTCCTGTTTCATAAATGGCTACGGTTATTATGTAGGACCCGTAGCAGTTCTCTTTGGGTTGATGCTCTTAACGCGGCTGGGAGCCTTGGCTATGACAGCATCCGCTCCGGTTCCATACAGGTGAACGTGCGCGTACGAGCCCTTCTGTGATCCCGGAATTAAGTAAATCCCAGCACTCAGCTCTGGTCTCGCACACTGTTGGTCATCAGTACGTAAAAACGCTGGGCTTCGGTTTTGCATTTCCCTTTAAGGGAAAGGTCTGGGTCTCGAAGTCATTTGCTTATTGCTTGTGGAATAGACCTGTTTTTCATAAATCATTCCAAATAGAGCTGTTGGTTTGTTTATTTCTTCCAGGTTTTTTCCCTCTTTTTGAGAGAGGGGGGCAGGAGGGTATGAGGCACAGAATAAGGGTCTTTGCAGGGACCCAGGAAATAAAAGTATGTAACATAGCAAATTTTAAAGCATTTGCTGTATGGAAGGGTTCTCCTTACCCACCACATCAGTTGCTTCTTAAAAGAGTTTATAAGAGTACTCTGCGGAAGCGTGAATATTCGTTAGCAAAGTAACACTGGTTTGGCTCTGTGTAGAAAGGAGAGGAGCTACAAAGAAGCCCCCCAAAACAACACACACCCCCTTTTTTGTTTCCTCTTAAACATACCATGTTTACAGGGCTTTAGTTTTCTATTGGCAGACTGTCACCAAAAGTCTCCAATAGTTGCTGGGATGGTGAGTTAGTTTTGGGCTTCTACTCCTCCGTTCATCTGTTATTTTAGTCAGATCCTGAATTCCACTTAGTTAAAGACTCACGAGAATTGCTTAAAATTTGCATTAGGAAGTCATACCTCAAACAATGAATTTGCAAAAAATACATATTTATTTTTGTGCACTAGTCAAGAAACTACTGTAATACTTGAGCAAAATAACATTTTTAAGTCATTTTGGTTGCTGAATTAGAGAGTGATAATGTGGACATCCCTGTTTGAGCCTTCACCACAAACATGCATTGGAATGTTTGTTTATCCGCTGCTTGGTTCTTCTGTAAAGATGTATAGCTGTGGGTGGTGCTTTACACCAAGGTTGCTGCTCTGCTGGTGCTCTGTATGTTCGCAGTAACGGGTAAAGTGGCAGGCTCTGTGGCTAGCGAAGAACGGCATGGATGTTGCTGCTCTCTGTTGCACCGGAATTTCAACAGCTGAGTTTGGCTGCTGAATTGATGGAACTACTGGAAGAAATTTCAGAGAAGTGAGTACTGTGCTTATCTTTATGTTTTAAAGTAAACTTTCTACAGATACCTCTCCATGGGTTAGGTATTTGATTTGCATGAAACAAACCCAGAATTCTGCTTTAAGCAGTGTTCTGATTTGCTGAAATTCCCCATAGAGAGCAAGAATTAGGAATATTGCTTGGCAGTTTAAAATCTCAGGGTGTCTCTGAAACTTTTTCTGAATACTTGCCAGAATAAGTAGGAAGTAGCCTGAATTCCAATGGAGATACTGTGTAAAAGGCCCTTTTCTTGACAGGAAAAGAGCTTTGTGAAATGTCAACACTGTTTCCCATAGGGCCTCCAACATACTTGTCCAGTAATAGTGGGCTTTGTCCAATTCCCTCGGGCACAATCTTGAACAAATTTTTAGCTTCCTTTCCATCTCGTGCTTGGTTACTTGTACCCGCAGAAAATTTAATTCAGTGTCAAATGAACCCACAGGGAAATGTCCCCATGCTGGTAGGGCAACCCCATCGTAGTTGGTAAAATTGGAAAACAGTGCAACATTTTTAAAAACTTGCCTTGTGAGGAGAAGGTCTGTCTCCTGTTAGGCGACTGAATTTTGTGACTGATTCCATCCCCCTACCCCCGTGTACTTTGAAGGTGGCGGTCCCTAAGCCAATCCCATCGAAAATTTGGATTTTTTTTTTTTTAATAATTTCTTATGAATATGAGGCTTGTGTGGCTGTTTAGCTTGTCCTGTTCTTCCTGTTCATAATTCTGAACCCGCTGGCTGGTATAGAAGAACAGTCACGTGACAAAAATAAAATTATATTTGCACTTATCCTGGATTTGCCCCTTGGAAAAGGAGTGCATCCGTTATTATGGTGTGAAAGGCATTTGACTAGCGTAACACATCGTCAGATCTGCTCTTGCTCTGATTACAAGTTACGGGTTATTATTTAGAAGTACATTCACCTGCTATTCCTTACTGTGGTTTTGGGGGTTTTATTTTTTTCAAAGAAAGAGCGGATTTTTTTGTCGATCTCTTTGTGAAAGTGTCAGATCAGGTTGCGGTAAATATGTATCAGCAACTAGGCTATGGCGTGTACCGGACAGTATTAGAGTACCAGTCTGCCAGCAGTGGAGAGCCAGATGAAGATGCTTATGGTAAGTACTTGTTCTGCCTCAGGTTGAATGGAAAGATTCTCATGTTGAGGGTTCCTGAGTTTGTTTGTATGGATTTGGGGTTTTTTTATATGAAACAAGTTCAGATAGTTGTTGACGAATGGGATTCCGTATACTCTTTTAGACAGCTTTTCCTACAGAAGATTACATCAGTTACAAAACTTAATCTTGCAGTTTACACATTTTGTAGCATCTGTGGCAAAATAAACTACAAAATAAGAATAAATTAGTAAGTACAAAGACATTTATCCTGTAGGTAAGATGAGAATAAAAATGCAGTTTCTTTCTAATTTTTTTTTCCAAGGAACACTTGCACCCATTGGCTGAGCCTTTTGCAAATGTTACTGGGGAAAGGAATGGCAGTGCTTTCCTACTTTCTTCCCATAACAGGGACTCAAAACTTTGTTTTTCTCAGATGTCTAGCTACAAATTTACAAGTGTCAGTGGTCAACAGTGGCAGAGAATTCGGTGGCATTTTCAATTTAAAAGGGAAGGAACTTGGAAATTAAAGTATGTTAATTCTGTTAACAAAACTGAAATACCAGCCGCTTCCTCTTTCTAGATCTTCTTTCCTTTAAGTATCCTCCCCAAAGGGTGATGTGGCCGTGCTGCATATCTTTTCTTTTCTTGCACTATTCATTTGATTTGGGGAAGTACTGTGAAATACAGGGGCTACGGAGAGACATTTCCCATTGTTGCGGATGCCTTAGATCATGCGTTTGTTCCTTTAGCCTGCCGTTTCCTTTCCATTCAGTTGAGTTTCATGCAATGTTATATTGCAGTTGATATCATTGCTGCTGAACAATGCTAAGGACATTGAACTATTAGAGCATATCCAGAGGAGGGTGACCGAGATGGTGAAAGGTCTCGAAGGTGTGACTTAACGGGGTGCGGCTGCGGTCACTTGTTTTGCTCAGCTTGGAGAAGAGAAGGCCGAGGGTGACCTCATGGCAGTCTACACCTTCCTCAAGGAGGGCAGCAGAGGGGGAGGTGCCGATCTCCTCTCTCCAGTGACCAGCGACAGGACACGAGGGAACAGACTGAAGCTGTGTCAGGGGAAGTTCAGGTCGGACATTCGGAAGAGGTCCACTGAGAATGTGGTCGATCACTGGAACAGGGTCCCTGGGGAAGTGGTCACGGCCCCAAGCCCCGCCAAGTTCAGGGAGCATCTGGATGATGCTCAGTCATACAGTTTAGTTTTAGGTAGTCCTGTGAGGAGCAGGGAGTTGGATTTGATGATCCTTATGGGTCCCTTCCAGCTTGAGGTGTTCTGTGATTCTAGGAAATCTTCTTGATTAAAAATTATCTTATTGTAACAGAATTCATTTAATATAGCTTTCTGCAATGACTGTCGTCTTATAATAGCATTTTTTTTCTTTTGCCACAGATATGAGAAAAGCTCTTTGCAGAGCTATGGAGAAGAAATCAATTATATTTCTACACTATATGTTGTATACTACAGCTATACAGTAAATGCCTCATCCTGTGAGACCAGAAGACATTGAGTAACCGTAAGCTGTGATTCTCAGGCAACTTGCTAAGAGTGTCAGGTTCCTTCTCCCTCCAGCCCCTGAGAACTTAAAGATGAGAAATCTTAGGCTCAACATTATTCCCCACGAAATACCAAAAAACAGTATTGAGAAGCTTACTAATGCTGCTTCTGTGGGTAATGGCTGCATACTCCTGCACTTACCCTATTATTTTTTTCTTTCAAGTGTTGGAAATTCAGAGACAATTAAAATGGAATTACTTTCTGTATGATGTTTTCCCGGTTTTCTTTCAAACCAAAAATACCTGTAACTCTTCAAATGCATTTATTCACGACCGATGAAAATACCGTACAATACCCAAGAAACACCGCAGGAGAAGGCAACGTATTAATACTTGCGTAGAAGATCAGCTTCATAATATATATAATTATATATACATAATGCAGAAATACTTTTCCCCTCTCCATGGCACAGGCACAGGACTGAAGTTAGGTTCACTGTTGATTTGAAAAAGCCAGACAACCAAAGCAGTCAAGGCTTCCTCTCCACTGTGGACCAGATTCGAGACCAATTCTGCGTTCAGAGTGCCTGTATGTACCTTAACGTGCCGTGTCCACCAAAGTAATCTGCAGTAAGCATTTCTTGTTTTCTTACACTCTTCTTGCTCAATTTCAGGGTCAAATGTAGGTTTTCCAAAGAGCCTGCAAAAGAGAAGTGTCTCCTTAACATTCACAGCATCTTCAAACAACCCTATATCTAACACTGAGAGAAGGCACTTTATTGTTTTTTAATTGAGGAACATGAATAAATGTGGAGTTGGCAGAAACGAAATTCAGAGAGCTGAGTATTTATTGACCATACGAGCTAGGATTAAGACTGACCAGTATCAACTCTTGTGACCGTAATCCATTTAGCTCACTCCTGTAAGCATGTTTCTCCCTCCGTGTTTTATCGTGGCTTTTATAGTCCTGCATACCCTGCCAAGAAGTGGATGCTAACTTAGACGAGATGCAGGCTAACCCTCTATTGTAGGCAGTTCTGTTCAAGCTGGTAGAATATTTTCGTTTTCATTACCCCTGGTAATAAATACCGGGGTTTGTTCCTGTTTTTCTTCCATCCTTATATTCAACTTTCTGTCCCTTTTTTCCTCTCACTTCCTGTCCGGTGTCCTGTCTCTCTCGTTCTGTTTGTACCTTCTCCATCTCTCTGAATCTGCATCTCTCTCTGTATTACTCAATCCTTCTCCCCTGTTCTCTGTCCTACTTTTTCTCTCTCTCACTGAGAGAAGGCACTTTATTGTTTTTTAATTGAGGAACATGAATAAATGTGGAGTTGGCAGAAACGAAATTCAGAGAGCTGAGTATTTATTGACCATACGAGCTAGGATTAAGACTGACCAGTATCAACTCTTGTGACCGTAATCCATTTAGCTCACTCCTGTAAGCATGTTTCTCCCTCCGTGTTTTATCGTGGCTTTTATAGTCCTGCATACCCTGCCAAGAAGTGGATGCTAACTTAGACGAGATGCAGGCTAACCCTCTATTGTAGGCAGTTCTGTTCAAGCTGGTAGAATATTTTCGTTTTCATTACCCCTGGTAATAAATACCGGGGTTTGTTCCTGTTTTTCTTCCATCCTTATATTCAACTTTCTGTCCCTTTTTTCCTCTCACTTCCTGTCCGGTGTCCTGTCTCTCTCGTTCTGTTTGTACCTTCTCCATCTCTCTGAATCTGCATCTCTCTCTGTATTACTCAATCCTTCTCCCCTGTTCTCTGTCCTACTTTTTCTCTCTCTGTATGTCCCACTCCCTGTCCCCACCTTTATCATTGCTTCCTTCGTCCTCTCCTTTTTCTTTGTCCTTTTGTCCTGTTCCCTAACCCTATTCCTTTCTCTCACTGTCCTTTTCCCTGTACCTTTCTGCCTCTGCTCCTCAGTCCTTCTCCTTTGTGTTACTTTTCTCTTCATAATCCTCTGCCCTGCTCCCCATCCCTTCTTTCTCCAGCCCTCTCTGCTGCTCCCTTGCCCCTGTCTTTCTGTGCCCAAACACCTGGGTCATGATCTCTCTGGCAGTCCTTGTCTCCCTCTTTGTCTCGCTATCCCTCTGTCTTTCTTGTGTCTCTACCATTCTGTCCAGCTCGCTGCCCCTCTTTTCTCACTCTGTCCCACTGTCCTGCTCCTCTTGCCCTCTGTTGCGCAGTCCTTTTATCTGTCCTCCCCACCCCCCAGCCCCGGTTCTCTCACACCCCCCCTTTCTTTTTTATTCCATTGCTCTGCCCTGCTCCTTGTGCCATCGGTTCTCACTGCATCCCTCTGTCCTGCTCCCTGCCCTATTCTTTTTAATCCCTCTCTGTTGTGCTGCTTGTCCCAGGTTTTTCTTCATCTCCATCCTGCTCCCTGTCCATATTTTTCTTTCTCTATCCTGCTTCCCGTCTCTCTTCCTGCCTCTGCTCCTCTGTCCCTGCTGTTTCTTTCTTTAGCTCTGTCCTGCTCCCGTCCCCCTCCGCTCTCCCTGTGGTTATGCCCTTTTTCTTGTACCGGTCTCATCCGTCTTTCTCTCGCCGTCCCGTTCCCTGCCTCACGCTTTCTCGCTGCAGCCCCACTGTCCATCCTGCTGCCACCGTTCTCATCTCTTGCAGTGTCCTGCGCCCCGCGCCCCGTTTTCGGCGGC